TTTTAACTCCAGATTGTTTCAGTAGCATGTCTTGAGCCAAGGTAGTAGAGAAAAGCTCTTGCCAATCTGTCGCACACTAATTCTGAAACTCTTCCAGTTACTGAGTGGCCCCTACCATGTCCTTGTTCAAATCTGAACCCAACACAACACAGTTATGGTAACCCAATACCTATGTTGGACCTACTGTCACATTCTGTCCTTACATTTATGCATTTTTCTTATCAGTATTCATCTATATACTGTAGTTAAGACCAGACTGTGATGAAAACTAAAACTTTAACCCTCCTCTCATCTCCAAATTCCTACCTCGTTCCTTGGTAGGAAACTGCAGACTGATAGATGGTATAAGTCTCTGGAGAGCAGAAGAATTCTATAGTGATATGATTGGAACATGCAGATCAGTTGATGTTTAGACCTGATCAGGACAACAGTACTGTGACCTTTTTGTAAACCACGTTCACACAATATAAACAAAATCAAAACAACACATTTTACATCTACATTTTCCATGAAAACCTCAGTGGGCATAATGTTACTTACATTTTTAAATAGAGATTAGACAGGTTTGTTTATTTGTTGACTGAGCTCATGTGATTACATAAAGAACACCAAATGCTCAGGGTGTGGTATTGGTCAGTTAAGTTTAAATGTCCAAAATCATTTAGTCAGGAATCTGTTCAAATAGCTGTTCAGTGGTTTAAATGGTTTTAATTAATGCAACAACCTTAACCTGATACATTACCACACCCTGTCTGAGTAACTTGCTATCATTATGTTTGAAGACAGCCCGTCAATGACAGAAAATACCTAGAGAACGATATGTTCCATTTTAACAACTAAGAGACTAATCCAGAGAAACCAGGATCCCAGCACTGTGACGCACAGACCACATCCGGGAAGCACATGAAACTCCAGGAAAAAAAGCTCTAGGATGCCTGTGGGGCACTCAGGAGTAACAGTGACAGAAGAATGACAAAATTGCCTCTTTCTGGGAGAACATTTGAGACGGTGGCAGAGAGAGTGGTGGAGCATTTCATTCACTGATGAATGTTGTTGTTACGTTTTCCCAGAATTGATGGTGACCAGGAGTGTTGAGAAGTAATTCTGGGCATTTTGCTGACCTTTGCACTGCTCAAGCCAATTGGGAGAGTATAATGTAGGGAGGAATCTCCTTTAACACAAGGACATCTGTGGTGCAACACCGAAGTCAACACTACTGCAACATTACCAACAAGGTCCTTGTGCCACAGCATTCCCTTCCCACCATCCAATTCTGAAGCGTAAATGTTTTCTGCAATAAAATAAAAAAAAACTACAAGGTGCTAGGATAACAATAGCATGACTTCAAGAAAACACGTCGAGGTTTTGCGGTGGTCAGCTTTTTCTCCTGACCTGAGTCCAGCAGAAACTCTGTGGGACCAACTCATCAACACCCTTAACGGGAGACAGCCATAACAGGCCAACCTTGGCCAGATGGCTCCACCTGCACAGTGGTGCAAAACCCCACAGCAGTTTGTCCAGGTGCTGTTCAAGCCTATGTGTCTGTTCTCCCAGGTCATACCTAAAAAGAGGTTTTGCAATGTTTTCATTTAGTGTTCCATGACCCATCCTGACAGCTTATGATTTGCTGTGATTTTGTTTGAAATCTATGTTAATAATAATTGCTTACACTTATATAGCACCTTTTCTGGACACTCCACTCAAAGCGCTTTACAGGTAATGGGGACTCCCCTCCACCACCACCACCACCACCAATGTGTAACCCCACCTGGATAATGCATCGGCAGCCAAAGTTCCCCAGAATGCTCACAACACATCAGCTATCAGTGGGTAGAAGAACGGAGTAATGAAGCCAATTCATAGATGGGGATTATTAGGAGGGCATGACTGGTATAGGCCAATGGGAAATTTGGCCAGGACACCAGGGTAACACCCCTACTCTTTTTGAGAAATGCCCTGTGACTTTCAACAATTTTATGTTTAATTTAAGGACGGCATCTTTTTTACAGCATAGTGTTGCCATCACTATACTGTGGCATTAGGACCCACACAGACAGCAGGGTGAGCTCCCCCTACTGGCCCCACTAACACCTCTTCCAGCAGCAGCCTTAGTTTTTCCCAGGAGGTCTCCCAGCCAGGTACTGACCAGGCTCACGCCTGCTGAGCTTCAGTGGGTTGCCAGTTGTGAGTTGCAGGGTCATATACTATAGCTGCTGGCTATGTTTACAATATTTGAATTACACTGACCACTACTTCTTTTTTTATATACAACCTTTTCTAGAAGTGTTTCGTATTGTAAACATGCCTGTGTGTGACAGGACCGAACAAGACAAGCATGGGACAACAGCATGGAGACCAAGAAAGCTGGAGGTCTCAATCTCATTGTAGGCCTTCGTACACCAGAAGAGCCACTGACATTCACAGGTGGTGCTTTACATCTTCCTCTGCCGTTCCTGAGTAAGCAGGATGCAGGAATCCCACCAGACACTACACAACTACACAGTACCTGATGTGACCACAGGACTGAAGTAGTCTTTACACTTTCCTTTAAATGTTTTCATTTAAAAAATCATTTTTTTCTCATGATTTATAAAACTGGGGATCTGGGTGTCATATTTTAATATTATCCATTGTAAAATCCATTAAGAGTTGTTGCTGTACTATGTGTATGTTAGCATAGATAGTACTTAATACTATCTAGCATAGATAGTATATAATACTAACATACTTCCTTTATCATCATCCCTTTCATTCAACTTTAATGTGCCTTGTTATATCCATTTAAATCAAAATGTTTTGTAGGAAAAAAATATCATGACAGAGGAGGAGTATAAATTATAAGGCATTACAAAGAAGGGCATTGTGGTAAAAATTAAAGAAATCACTACAGTCAAGAAATGCAGAATAGCTTTCATCTGATTAATAAGTACCAAGTATGTGGAATAATTTTATTTTTACCAATAAAGCAGGTATATAACTCAATGTGCTAATTCAGAAAGATGACTTGGAATGAAAATGCAAAACCACCAATCAACCTCTGAAATTATTTTCTGTTATCTCAAGACGTTCATGCTTAAGCACGAAATGATTAATGCTTTAATGACTAAACATGACCTCACAAAACATCCCCATTGTGGTTCTCCTAGACCACAGTTGGTCACATTTGGGCAGAAGTTCACCCAAGGGTATTACTTAAGTACAGACAGTAACACAATTTGAACACAAAATATTTATGACAGCAGTTGAATGCAAACACATTCAATACGAAATAATCGCATTCATGTAAAATAACAACTTGTCCACAAGCAGGTGCATCCCAAAATGAAATACCGTAATTCCCAAACATTCTGGTATTACACCATGTAGTATTCTGAACTTTTAAGGACAATATCGACCATCCCTGAGAAAAACTACTTGTGAGTTTTTCCACCTTTTGTTTTTTTTTCCACATTTATAGGATTAAAATTTAACACCTGAAAGTGCTGTCACAAAACTGGGATCCTCTATCCTCTGAAAATGTATCTGCTCACAAACTCTGAGCACTTCAAATGAGCGAACTTTATGAGATGCCTTTCTGTCCTGACAGAGTAAGAGGGTCAGTTGATCTCTGGTAATGGCTTAGTTGCAACTCTTGTTGAAGTAAGGTTTCACAACGCCTTAACTTAAAACTTTCCAGAGTAAAATATTAAATCCATGTTCAGCAAAGAAGGCCTCTTCTTTTTACGTCTGTAGTGAACACTACCTCTTCACTGTTCATCATGTCAATAAAGAGCTCATAGAGTTGTACAGTATGTTAGACACATATTGTGGAGTTCACAGAGGAAAATACATTGATAATATATTGGTGTCAATATCTTATAATTGCCAAGCAACTATGAAAAAGTATGTAAAAGGACAGAAGGAGAAAAATAATCTTGCACATCAATTCCATAATCTACTTTACAAAAACTCTCAGACTGTTGCATACATACAGAACATGAAATCAAAGTTGGCATTACATCTACAACTTACTGTATGTTTACAGTATACCTATCCACAATCACACCCAACACGTATTCTGATAAAACATACGACAGTGTTTCAGAGTAGAAGCATAATAAAGTTCAAAATATGTAAATCAGTGATTACATTAAGTCCACGAGATTTACATCAAAAGGAAAAGAAGGTAGAGACAAAAATAGAAGGGTAACAGAAGATTATTAACATACAATTAATAAACTGAAACTGCAGTCGTTGCTAAATGCTTGAACCTTACACGTTACGGTTGCAATACCAAATTCATTATAACAACAGTGATAGAAAATAACTATCTTAGCCAGAAAATATTTTCTAATAACATGTGGTTAGGTTCTAAACTTTAGGACACACAAATGTTACAGACCTTTCCAGAAGAATCATCGGGAGAGCAGAAACCTGACTGTACCTACAGTACGCTCCACAGCGAGTTACAGTACATCTGTCCCACTGCTAAGGAGTCTCTCAATCTTAAAAAAGCGCATTTAATATGACTTCGTAATACTTATTTTAAGATGTCTGTGTATGAATGTACTATGTGCAATTTATTTTAAAACGTTTAACAGTCATTCGAGATATTCTGGCTATTTTTTTCACATATTCGCCTACGTTATCTTATTATTTGTCAAATGCCATTATCGAAGCTATTCTTCTTGTTGTGTAACTAAGTCATCTTCGATTGACTCTCTAAGAAGTTACTTTTAACCTCAAAAGAAAAAAAAACATGATCGAAAACGTTACGTGGGATATATTACACACAATGTACTTTACACAAATTGCGTATGCGCGCAATATTACATACCCGAAGTTTCGATGCTATTTAAAATAAATAACATCAAGTAACAAACTTTTGTACTACATATTTCATTTTTTGGCTACTAAAACAGGTCAGTTCAGCTTTCATCACTGCTTATCCCAGACACATGTGAAACACTTGCAAGGCCCGGCAGTAAATTTGTCATTTTAAGTCATTTTTGGAAACTTACTGTGTCGGGAACAACATCTAGTTTGTCCATTGCCACATTGTGTCCTCTTTCATAAAATTAAGGTTAACTAGTTGTCGTTTCCTTTACAGAAACAAACCAAAAAAGTAAAAATATATATATAACGAAAAGAAAAAAACGAAACTTCACTGGACACTAAACTTCAACCAAAGATGAGGTCATTGGGATAAAAATAAAAGGATGGCGTCATTTGAAACCAATCCCACTTCGAAGGAACCGAAATCCTTAAAGGTACAGGAACATAATTTAATTTACTGAAGTGTATGTAATATGCCCGAGACAGTACCCCTTTAAAGGACCAAACGAGAAACCATGGAGTCAAATATATTTGTCGCCTTGTATGTCAATACTAGAGGTTTTTGTTAATCACGCCTGTTGTTTTAATTCGTGTATTGTTGAACACTTGGTATCTCAAGAGCTGGGTGGTGGGTGGAGAAAGCCTCGAAGCCCCAGTACAATCAAGGCAGTATTCAAATGACCTGCTAACTCGCTCAGTGACTAAACTGCCTGGGAATTTTTCCAGTTTTTGCGCCGTGTTGTTAACCCCTTGATTACCATTCCCAATCTCTGCCATGTGTAGGTGTTTATTACAGGCGTACATTTTGACAAAACCTCAGATAAATAAATTAAATATAAAATAAAGAGAATGAAAATAATAACTTGAACAAAAATGGTAATGTGTTCTAAAACCCTCACAAAACTATAATGAGCCATCCCTACCTCCCACTTTAATGAGGCATCCAACCTACTGTACCTGTAGAATAGGTGTAGCACACTCATCTGCTGTGGATTCCTAATATAGCCTGAGAAGAAACAATCGATGTTTTGAATCAAAACACTTTTAATATATTCTGATTTTATTTTGATAGCCAGTCCTCTGTGATTCTTTTTTGTATTTTCACTCATTTGTCCAAATAATTTTTGTTTTAGCCCTCTGTTTATCTAGAGACAAAACCTATCAGGGCCAACGGTAAATTTTGAAGGGATTAAAACTAATATCTAATATAATCAATTCTTAATAATAACTAATATAACTAATAATACTTTCTTTCTTCCCATTGATTTTCAAGTCTTCCAGTAACTAAATGTTTTAAATTAAATCCTCTTGAACTTTTGTAAAAGTATGTGGTTGTTTTTTGTCATACTATCAAGTGATAGTGGTAATCTATCAATTTTTCTTCCATTTGTTTCCCTGTCTATGTCATTTATACCAGAACATCCAATCATAAAACCTATTTCATGTAGAAAAAATTCACATTTGGTGTATTTAATGGTTAGTTCTAACATTTCTAATAATCACTTGATACTGTGTGGTCAAATCTGACCCCTGGACAACTGCATTATTATTTCTTTCTATTCCAAGTCCCAATTATCACATTAAATTGAGCAAATTTTAAAACATTTCAGCAGGTCTTTGTGAATTCCAAACCATTTTTTTAAATGAAAAGTAATTAGTGAAAATGTTTTAAAAATCCTAAAAGGTCAGATTGAGGAGAAAACTATAGTATAATAATTGAAGGCTAAAAAATAGCATTTAACAAAGAGGGGTCAGCATATTGGAAAAATGAGTGTTAAGATATTTTTTAGTGTTAGAAGTATTTTTAAGTTTTCATTATCTGACCCATTAGAGACAGTATATAAATCTTACTTAGAGCGATGTCAGTGTTCACCCAGCTCCACAGATTAAATATGTCTCCTGCAACAAGGTCTGACATTAAAATTCATCACACCTGCAAAATGTCTAAAATCATCAGTAAGTAATTATGGCAATGTCAAATCATCTAGCACAGGATGTAGCCAAAAGAGCTCCATCCAACAACACTTTCAATAAATTTGTACATCGGTTGCGATGAATTACCATCACCACTTTTTATTCTTTTATTATACCAGGTAAGTCTATTGAGATGTTAAAATGATGGACATAAAAGCCAACACTTATATCTGACAGTGGCTAAGCCCACCACAATGTCTCTCAGAGACAGGACTCTTCAGAAGGATTACTCTCCAGCTTTCTATAAAATCCATAACCCTAGACTATCAGCAGGAGAAAAGCAGGCTTATCATGGAACTGAGAGAGTCCAGCAACCAGACAATTAGAGGTGTCAATGTCCAGGTGCATACTGGAAGACGTTGGAGGGCACAAGATGAACTGCAGAAGGCAATGAACAGGCTGCAACACCTGGAGGTGGGTGGCTCAATCCAAACAGGTCAAGCAGGACTAAGACATAGACAGCCACTTCATCTGTGGTCCAAAGCCAACAGAAAGGAGCGGAAAGAGATGCTGGTCATGTAGGTGATAAACATGGAAGAGGAGAGATGGAGAGTGAAAGCAGTGTCACAAGGACAACAGGGAAGCTAAGTGGGAGAGTGTGGTGAACAGGAAAATCAGATGGTGGGGCATATGGAAAGTCCCACAAGCAGGCCTCATCTTCCTGATCAGGGCTAGCTATGACATCTTGCCTTGCACCAAGAACCTCCACCAATGGTATGGGATGAGAGAGCCTGCCATCTTTGCGGTACCCTCAGTTAAGGCCTCCGGCACATACTGACGAGCTGCACGATGGCTCTCTCGCAGGGCTGATACAGGTGGCAACACGACCCCATCCTCAGGAAGCTGACAGGGGTGCTGGAGACCAAGAGACAGGAGGCGAAGGGAAATAGTCTTCCATCAGCATCACGGTAGGTTGTGTTCGTCAGGCCACAAGGTGGGAGGTGGGAGATTGCAGGTAAGTAGAGAGAGGTCAGCTGCAGGGAGGCAGGGCAGGGAGAAGTCCCTGTCACTGCCCCACCACTAGGAGATATACTGAGGTAAGGGGCGAAACATCAATGAATGGTGGTCCCCCAGTTGAATACCCTGTAGCTGGCCTCCTGGCACTGTAGGTGCGGCAGGTGAAAGCCGTGCAGGTTAACATCCACCTGTATAGAGTAGATGGAGAACAAATTCTCATTTACTATAATGACCTGGACACCCATTAATACAATTAATGAGGTGATTTGAGTAACATATATTGTTAATAGGTACAACAGCTTCATCCCTTCCAGGATTTGAAAATACTGTATCTGATCCAGAGTCCACAGCCCTAAATCATCACACTCATAATCATCATTATCATCGTCATCTAAAGAGAATATACCACAAGTGACAGGATGATTGATTTATGATATGACATAAGTGCCATACATTAGCATAACAGAAGCAAACAGACTCTTTTTAAAATGTCTGTTTGGTTGTAGCATATTAAATGGTTCACATCTATTTCTATTAGGTTAGAAGGAACCTTTGCAAGGAACTAAATGTAAGAATTCAACAAAGATAACAACATACAGCGCAATCATTCTAATGGATCTTTTTTATGGTACTGTAAATGAGACTAAGGTGTTTTTTGGCCACTGTGAAAAGAGACGAATCTAAAGACAAATCTGTTGCATTCAGAAAGGGCCGATGTCATCCCTCAATGCCAATAGTTGCTCAGGTGAGCAGACTTCTGTTGTTGCTTAAAGTAATAGGAGCATCTAAAAGCCCCAACTATTCAGTAAACAATGCTGATATCTGAAGTGGTCCTAAGAAGATTCATACCTATGGAATTTTAGGATGTATAGTATATAGATGTGAATAAAAGACCTTAAAATTTTCATTAGCTGAGTAGCATTAAAATGAAGAAAAGCAGAAAGCTAAAGATGACAAATCTTATTCAAATGCAAACATAGATATAAAAGACGTTCAAAATGTTCTACAATTCACATGATTGGGCTGTTACCGCACTGATGAGTGCATTTCAAACCACAATAAAAATAAAATATCCAAAATAACTTGTAAAACCTCCAATTTCCATAAAAAATAGACTACATTTCCAGGTATGTGCTGAGATTCAGAAAGAGGCAACAAATCATCCATGATGTGCAGCACCCCTATTACATTGTGAAGAAGCAGGCTTGTGAAAACATCTCTTTTAATCTAAAAGAAATATTGCTCTTGAGTTTGAGACAGTTTTGGAGACAAATACTACCTACTTGTTGCATGCAGATCACTTTAGAACATAAAGTGTCCGCTGCCCTCCCTGTACTTATTGTCTTGTACAGTACATCACAATGTAATTACAATTACATTAGTCATTACTGAGAGTAGTGAGCAGGAAGGGCAGCATCACACTGCAATTTGTGTAAACTCTTGTGCGTGCCTATGGAGAGACCAGGGGTTTCCAACAACATGTTTTAACATACCAAAGAAGCAGAGTTAAGGAGAAAATTGAAACTGGTTAGGAGAGGGCTATAGTAGTGTCACACCCTCTGTTGCCAGAGTGTCTTCCTTCTCTGTCCTGTCCCTAGTTCCCGGTCTGCTGTCCTTCCGGTCCTTCTCTTTCCCTTGGGCTATATATTTCCAGGTCTTGCACTCTGTCCTTGCTCAGCATTGACGTTCAGATGTCCTGAGACCCGCCTAGCACCAGGGCGCCCCATGTCCGCTCCCTGAGGGCATAGGTTTCTATACGGTATTCCTGAACTCTTTGCACTATTGAGCCCGGGCCTTTTTCCCGTCTCGCCACTACGCATATGGGTCTTTTTCCGCTCTCCTGTTCCCCACGGTTAGTCCCTTTGGACGTCCGTGACACGTAGTCCAGTCTAGAAGGAACAGGGGCTTAGATCCCATAGTACAATATTAAGTATATTGTAGAGAGATATTCTGAAAAAAAGTGTGATGACTGTATAACACCCCAAAAATCTTATGTCTAAAAATGGAAAATTTGAAAAAAAATAACAACATTAATCTTTACATATAAATATACACAAAAAGCACACCCAGATGAATACTTTCGTTTAGTCTTATACTTACCAACATGACAACAAGGTATTTTTGTCTGTGTACATGTTCAAACTGTTTTACATCTTTTTCCAGCTTGGAAGTAGAGCGATATCAAGGTACACGACCTATTATGCTGCTGAACTGAGCTGAATGTCCAAAGCCATACTGCTTTGATTTTATTGAAAGGAATACATGCTGTATATGTGAACACTGGACTGTAAATTTAAAATTGGGTGAAGGGTCATTGGGTGAACAGAAGGGTCATTGGGTGAGAAGGGCATTCAAATACTGTCACAACTAACTGTCACATTCTCATTTAGCAGGAAATCCACTGTTACTTGAGCAATGAGGATGTGAGT